CAGTGGCGCAATCACGGCTCACTGCAAGCTTCGCCTCCTGGGTTCACGCCATTCTCCTGCCTCAGCTTCCCAAGTAGCTGGTATTACAGGGGCCCGGTACTGCACCCAGCTAGTTCTTTGTATTTTTAGTAGAGATGGGGTTTCATCGTGTTAGCCAGGATGGTCTCGATCTTCTGACCTCGAGATCCACCCGCCTCAGCCTCCCAAAGTGCTGGGATTACAGGCCTGAGCAATCACGCCTGACCATTATTATTATTATTATTATTGTGGTTTTTTTCTTTTTTTTTTTTTTTTCTTTTTGAGATGGAGTCTCGCTCTTTCGCCCAGGCTGGAGTGCAGTGGAACCATCTCGGCTCACTTCAAGCTCCACCTCCCGGGTTCACGCCACTCTCCTGCCTCAGCCTCCCAAGTATCTGGGACTACAGGCACCCGCCGCCACTCCTGGCTAATTTTTTTTGTATTTTTAGTAGAGTCGGGGTTTCAACGTGTTAGCTAGGATGGTCTCGATCTCCTGACCTCATGATCTGCCCGCCTCAGCCTCCCAAAGTGCTGGGATTACAGGCGTGAGCCACCTTGCCTGGCCTTATTTTTATTTTTGGGACAGAGTCTCACTCTGTCCCCCAGGTGGCAGGGCAGTGGTGTGCTCTCGGCTAACTGCAACCTCTGCCTCTCAGGTTCAAGTGATTCTCCTGCCTCAGCCTCCCGTGTAGCTGGGATTACAGGCGCGCAGCACCATGCCCAGCTAATTTTGGTATTTTTAGTAGAGACAGGTTTTCACCATGTTGGCCAGGCTGCTCTCGAACTCCTGACCTCAAGTGATCCATCCACCTCAACCTCCCAAAGTGCTGGGATTAGAGGTGTGAGCCACAGTGCTGGCCTGTAGTAGTTGAATATTTATTATTAATCTACAAGTTGGACATTACGAAAGTCCTAGATATAGGGTCCCCCAAACTTCTAGAACAAGGGCTTCCCCACAATCCTGGCAGGCAAGCCTCCCCTGGGGTTCCCAACTTCTGTCCCCACTGAAGTTTTCACCCCCTTCTCTAATCCCAGCCTCCTGCTCTCTGTCTCCAGGTGCTCCAAGAGATGCTCCTCCTCCCCTCATGCTCCCTCCCCATCCTCCTCCTTTTCCTCCTCCCCAGTGTGCCAGTTGAGTCCCAACCCCCACCCTCAACATTGCCTCCTTTTCTGGCCCCTGAGTGGGACCTTCTGTCCCCCCGAGTGGTCCTGTCTAGGGGTGCCCCTGCTGGGCCCCCTCTGCTCTTCCTGCTGGAGGCTGGGGCCTTTCGAGAGTCAGCAGGCACCCCGGCCAACCGCAGCCGGCGTGGGGTGAGCGAAACTGCACCAGCGAGTCGTCGGGGTGAACTGGCCGTGTGCGATGCAGTCAGCGGCTGGGTGACAGACCGCCGGACCGCTGTGGACTTGCGTGGGCGCGAGGTGGAGGTGTTGGGCGAGGTGCCTGCAGCTGGTGGCAGTCCCCTCCGCCAGTACTTCTTTGAAACCCGCTGCAAGGCTGATAACACTGAGGAAGGTGGCCCGGGGGCAGGTGGAGGGGGCTGCCGGGGTGTGGACCGAAGGCACTGGGTGTCTGAGTGCAAGGCCAAGCAGTCCTATGTACGAGCATTGACCGCTGATGCCCAGGGCCGTGTGGGCTGGCGATGGATTCGAATTGACACTGCCTGCGTCTGCACACTCCTCAGCCGGACTGGTCGGGCCTGAGACCCATGCCCAGGAACTGATCAGGCAGAAAAAGAACTGAGCTGGATGCTGAGAGACCTCAGGGATGGCCCAGCTACTCTAAGGACTCCAGTTTGGGAACTCATCAAATAATCACAAAATCACAGTTCTCTGATTTTGAGCTCAATCTCTGCAAGATGGGTGAAACCACATGGGTTTTTGGAGGTTGAATAGGAGTTCTCCCGGAGCAACTTGAGGGTAATAATGATGATGGTAATAATAATAGCCACTATTTACTGAGTGTTTACTGTTTCTTAGCCCTAATACGTAACTCCTCAGATCAACTCCCATGGATTTGATCATTGGTGGCCCTTGGCGTTAAGTTGCTGGCTACTCAGTCTCAGAGGACATCACCTTGCTCATCCTGGAGAGTGGGAGGGGACATTTCACGATGGGGGAGGGAGGTGGGAGAGGAGAGAAACTGGAATAAGCAAGCAGATGGCCAGGGGACCTTGAGAATGTGGTCCACAGAAGGCCTTTAAGTATCTGGGAGCTGGGGTTCAAATGGGAAATCTTCCTTGGTGAGAGTGAGTAGGGGTTGGCTTAGAATATTCTCTTGTGAGGTAATGAGCCTGCCATCACAGGGGGAGTACAAACAAGGTTGAATGAGAAGTGATCAGGATGCTGGAGAGTTCGGCCCTGGGCGGGGAGCTGGAGTCAGGTTTCTAGCCCTCTTCCCTGTCTCAACCTCTACCCTACATCGGGAAAGCAACAGACCTTAAAATTGTCCAGCTTGATGGCTGGGTATGATGACTCACACCTGTAATCCCAGCACTTTGGGAGACCGAGGCCGGCAAATCACCTGAGGTCAGGGGTTCGAGACCAGCCTGGCCAACATCTGTCTCTTATACACATCTAGATGTGTATAAGAGACAGGCCAGGGACAGACCACAGTCCTTCACAATGGCCCTTCACGTGTTACCCATCACCCCACATGTGTTGCCAACACTCTCCTCTCTCTCTCTCTCTCTCTCTCTCTCTCTCTCTCTCTCTCTCAGGTCCAGCTTTGAGCAAAAGACTTAGGCATGCCCTCCCCCCATCTATACAGACCAGACCCCTGGGCGGGCTGGGGCGTGACTGCCTCAGTTTCTATATCTCCTTGTTTTCCATCTGTGATTTTGGTCTTTTTTGCCACCTTCCTCTCTGTCTCTAACTTCCAGTGGCTCTCGCCTCTGGGTCAGTCCTAATAGCTCCCTTTCCATCGTAGCCTCTTTCTTCCTCCCTGTCTCTCCCCTTTCTTGTTGAATTTCTTTCTCACTCATCAAAGCTCGTCTTTTTCACTATGTCCCTGTGCACTTCTCTGTGGGTCCTTCCTCTTCCCCGACCCAGCCTACCCCGTTGGAAGTTTTCAACCAAATCAAAGGCAGGTAGGACAGCCAATGCCAGCGCGCCAGCGCTGACTCTTTGGCATGTGCGGGAAGGGTTGGGGAGCCCCGGGAAGTCTACCCCGGGTGGGCAGGTATGGCAGAGGAAGGAAGCAGCTGGGAGGTTCTGGATGCTGGAGCAAAGAGGGGTGTTTCTCATGGCTGTCCTGAGGTGCTGGCTGTAGTGCAGGGGTCTCTGTCTCTGTCTGGATCTCTGACACCCCCAGGTCTCTGTCCCTCTTTCTGGGTCTCTGTCTCCCCCACCCTCTGCGTCTCTGAAATCCTGAACTTCTCCGTCCCCTACTGCCTGCCTCTCTTTGACTCTCCATCCCCCTCCCCGTGTTTCTCTGTGCCCCTCTTGGGGTCCCTGTCCCTCTGTCTCTGGGTCTCTTTCTCACTCCATCCAGCCACGTGCCTGCAGGCCCTTCATTGGCTGGATTCAGAGTGGCGGGTACTGACACCCGGGGCAACAGCAACAAGCCAGCTCTTGCTTGGCTACAGGGAGGGGGAGGAACCATGGCCAGTGGCACCCTGGCTCTGCGCTGTGGCCCCCTGTGGTCTTCCATCTCTGCAACCGAGGTACCTGGATCCTGGCCCAGCTGGCATCTCACCAGCAGCTGCCTTGCCCACCGCATTATCCCACCACTGCCCTTCACCCCGCCCACGGTGCAGGTGAGCAGATCCTAGGCTGAAGCACTGCAGGGACTGGGTACCCAGAAAGCTGGGGGCTGAGAAAAGCGGATTGGAAGCTTGGACTCCTCTCTGAAGGAGGGTCCTGCAGTCCTGGGTCTGAGAGAGGAGGCACCAGGGAAGCTAAATGCCAGGGACTGTAGAGGAAAGGGCTGGGGGGCGACTGGAAGAGGTCAGAGTTTGGGGTGGGGGGTGATACGGACTCCTGAGTCTTTCTAGCTGATGTGCAGCGCCTACTCTCCAGTCCAGGGTCGCGGACCCTCTACCACCCGGCTGCAAAGCAGGATTCTCGCATCTGGGCTTTCGACGAGGTCCTCAGCAGATGGGAGACAACCTCTGGCTCGGCCTACGTGCCCAAGACCCATGGAGGGCCCTGCGCCCAGCCCAGAGCCCCAGAGCCTGCAGACCCCACGCCGACTGTGGGAATCAAGGATTTAGGAGAAAAGGTAAGGTTTGGGGAGTGCCTGAGTCCGCGGGGGACAGGGCGGGAGACTGCATTTGAGTCCCCTGCGCCTTCACAGAGGTCTCCCGGTCGCCTTTCCCCAGCTCAGACGCCGTGGCTGACTCCTACCACTGACCACGACGTACCAGCGCAGCGAGACGAGGGCGCAGTACACTGGCTCTCCCGATCGGGACGCGCGAGTCTCCGAATACGTAGGGGCCCAGCCCCCACAACGCCCAGACCACCTCCACGGGGGGCCTTCCCAGGTGACGGGGTGGAAGCCGGCGCTGGCGAGACGGGGCGGAGTTCCGGGAGCCTGGGGCGGGGCCAGAAGAAATCACAGCCTTGGGGCGCGGCTAAAGGGTCGGGGGCGGGATCCCGAGGTTAGAGGAGCCTGGGGAGGGGCTGGGCCTCGAGGCCAGGCCAGAAGGACCAGGGGCTGGACACTCGCCTTCAGGGCTCCGAAGCTGCTGCGGGGCTAGAGACGGGCTGTGGGTGGGGACGAGATTAGAATATTCTGAGAGGGCGTCAGGTGGGAGCTGGGAGAGGTAACGTGGAATTGTTGCTCAAGATGCAGCTCAGCTCCAGTGGCCACACCAAGACGGTTTAAGACCCAGAGAGAAACCGGGGAGGAGGGTTTGTGGTGGCTGGGGGCCTGGGTTTGAGTTCCCTGACCAGCAGGACGTGCTTGAACTTAGGGAAGTGAGGCTGGGAAGGGTTCGGGTTTGAGGAAGGAAACTGAAGTTCCCTGGCGTGGGTGGCAGGAAGGGCTCTGACTCTGGGGCGGGGTTCTAGGACCGTGGCCGTCATGGCTGTCCAGGCCGAAGAAGAAGGATTCTGAACTGGGGACCCAAGGCTTGGAACGGGGTATGAAATCTATGTCTTGGGTATGCCTCCTCCCACAATCTTGCTCGGGCTCTAATCGCCTGGACGAAGAGCCCTGAGTTGTCTGGCCGACCTTTCACAGTATCCGACCGGGGCGTCCTGGACCGCCGCCAGCTCTATCTGACCACCTCGGCCCGGCCCGGGACTTTCGGTTCTATCCCAAGTAAGCCGGGCTCTCGCTCCGCACCGCCTCCTGCACAGCACTCGCCTTGGCCAGTGCACGCCGAGCCCCTGGGCTGGCTTCCATTCTCTGACCCGGTGGTCTCAGCCTCGAATCCTGTAGCAGCAAGAACCAAAATTCAGGCCCCAGCCCCTCCCTCTTTTAGTAACCAGGAGGCCTTAGTGTCAACTCTCAGGTAGGGACAGGAAGCCTGCACAGGCGCTCAGGGGGATTCTGGATCTGAGGACTGGGCCTCCTTCGGTACTTAAGCCCCCAGATACTCCTTCCCAAGGAAGCGAAAGCCCGCGTTTCCTTCCGAAGGATGCGAAAGCCTAGTTTCCAGGACCTTAAGTACCTCGAGGACCCAGGAACACGGGCTACGCACGCCGGGTCCCGTCCTTCCTAAGGGGCCCTCGCCTGGAAATGCAGGAGTTTGGGTGTGCAGACTCCTTAGATACCGAGGTCTGAACCTCGTCCCCAAGGATTCAGCTGTATCCTCACCATCCTGCCCTGCTCCCACAGGAGCTGTCCGGATACCCCCTCAAGGACTCCCTGACCTACTGGAGCTTCGAAGGGACTCCCTAACTCTGGGGTCACGACCCGCAGCGGCCGCCCCGTTCGCGCTCCTCCCGGCCGCCCCGATC